CAGTCAACTTAATTCGCTGGTTCATTCAATTAGATTCACAGTTGAAAATGAAGGGAATTGTGTCCTGCCATTTTTTAGGTATAATGATTCATAGAATCGGTAGAAGTTTCAAATTCATTGTCTATAGGAAACCCACCAATGTGCGCTCGTATGTTCATTATATATATATATATATATATATATATATATATATATATATATATATATATATATATATATATATATATATATATATATTTATATATACACACACACTAGCTGTACCCGGCCACGCGTTGCTGTGGCTCAGCAACGCATGTGCGTTCCTGAGCCACAGCAACCTTCCCCTGTTCTCCAGCCCTCTCCATCATATATACGTGTGGCATCTATACTTATACTCATGAAATGAACAGTATGCTAAAAACATAGCTCAGTTCGAATGCAATGTTACACAAAAAAATCAAACCTCAATGAAAATAAATCGAAATGTATAGAAATTTAATTTGTCAATGCAATCGAAGACATTGAAATGGAATCGTTACATATTTAGTATAGCGTGTGTGACTCTTACATGCAACCGATGATGTTTTTTCTTAAAAAAAAAAAATTTTTTTTTTACCTGTCACAGGTGTTGCATTTATCTTTATACTTATGAAATGAACGGTATGGTAAAGAACACAGCTCAATTCCAACAGAATGTCACACAAAATAATTAAATAAAAATGAAATGAAATCAAAATCTATGAAAATTAAAATTATCAATGCAATCGGAAACATTGAAATGGAATTCGTAACATATTTAGTATTGCGTGTGAGTTGTTATTACATGCAACAAATGTCACGGTTTAAAAAAAAAAAAGTTTTATCTGTCACAAGTGTGGCATCAATATATAGTAGGTACATAAAAAACATGCCCATATTCAAATGGAATGTTGTGTCAGAATTTCAAAGCAATCAGTGAAGAACTTTGGGAGATTACAGCGTGTGTTGCTCTTACATCCAACAGATGGCGCTGTTTTAAAAAAAAAAACATGTTTTTTCCTGTCACAGGTGAGGCATGTATATAATAGATATATAAAAACATGCGCCTATTTAAATGCTAGATCGTGTCAAAATTTCAAAGCATTCGGTAAAGAGGTTTCAAAGATTTCTCTCACACGAGAAACACATGAAAAACATAGTTTAAAAAAAAAACATGTTTTTTTTCTGTCACAGACGTGACATCAATATGGTATGTATATAAAAACCTGCTCGGATGCAAATGGAACATTGTGTGAAAATTTCAAAGCAATCAGTGAAGAACTTTGGGAGATTATCGATTTTGAACAAACGAACATTTTTATTTTTATTTATATACTAGCTGTACCCGGCCACGCGTTGCTGTGGCTCAGCAACGCGTGTGCGTTGCTGAGCCACAGCAACCATCTCTGTCCCCCAGTCCTCCCCACCATTCCCCCCTCACCCGTCTCCTCGTCCTTCCCCACTATTACCCCCTCCCTTGTCCCTTCGTCCCCCCCACCATCTCTCACTTCCATCCCCTCGTCATCCCCACCATTCCCCACTCCCTCGTCCGATGTCTTCCCAAATAGTATGATGTTCCCATCAGAAAATTGGGAACATCAAGTGATCTGATGTTCCCATCACTATAATACAAGAAAAACTGTTAAAAATGATATGAAAAGATGAAAAAATAAAAAAAAATAACTATACTCACGAAATGAACGGTCTGGTAAACAACGCAGCTAAAATTCCAACGCAATTCACACAAAATAATTAAATCAAAATGAAAATAAATCAAAATCTATGAAAATTCAATTTATCAATGCAATCTGATACATTGATATAGAATTGTAACATTTTTAGTACAGCATGTGTGTTGCTCTTACCTGCAACAGATGGCGCTGTTTGTTAAGAAAAGCATAGTTTTACCTGCCACAGGTGTGGGATCTATACTTATACTTATGAAATGAACGGTATGGTAAACAACACAGCTCAATTTCAACACAATGTCACACAAGATAATTCAATAAAAAATCGAAATCTATGAAAATAAAATTTATCAATGCAATTCGAAAAAATGAAATGGAATTCGTGACATATTTAGTATAGCGTGAATGTTGCTTTTATGTGCAACAGATGGCGCTGTTTTTCAAAAAACGAATGTTTTTACCTGTCACAGGGGTGGCATATATATAGTAGGTATATAAAAAGACTCGCCTATTCGAAGGCAACGTTGTGTCAAATTTCAAAGCAATCGGTGAAGAACTTTGGGAGATTACAGCGTGTGTTGCTCTTACGTCCAACAGATGGCGCTGTTTAAAAAAAAAACATGTTTTTTTCCTGTCACAGGTGAGGCATGTATATAGTAGATATATAAAAAGATGCGCCTATTCGAAGGCAACGTTGTATCAAAATTTCAAAGTAATCGGTAAAGAGGTTACGAAGATTTCCCTCACATGAAAAACACAGTTTTTTCAGGAAAAGCATGTTTTTTTCCAGTCACAGACGTCACATCCATATAATATGTATATAAAAAAAACCTGGCCGGAAGCGAATGGAACATTGTGTGAAAATTTTAAAGCAATCAGTGAAGAACTTTCGGATTAGCGAAATTTTGAACAAACTAACTATATATATATATATATATATATATATATATATATATATATATATATATATATATATATATATCGAAATTATTTGTTGGCAATTTAATATGAAACAATAATATTAGCGTGAAAATTTTCAACATTGAAATAAGCATATTTTTTAAATGATAATTACCTGCATCTCATTTTCATTAGTAAAAACCTAAAAGTCTTAATTAGTAGTTCACATTGAAGAATTGTGGCCAAATGGAATGATTGTGTCAAGGTTGTGGATATATAACACTCTTTGATGGCAATGTTGCTGCACTTGCCGAGGCAACGACACACATGTGACTGTTGTGTCACATGCGTGTCACATGTGACTGTTGTGTCACATGTGACTGTTGTGTCACATGCGTGTGTCACATGTGACTGTTGTGTCACATGCGTGTGTCACATGTGACTGTTGTGTCACATGCGTGTGTCACATGTGACTGTTGTGTCACATGCGTGTGTCACATGTGACTGTTGTGTCACATGTGACTGTTGTGTCACATGCGTGTGTCACATGTGACTGTTGTGTCACATGCGTGTGTCACATGTGACTGTTGTGTCACATGCGTGTGTCACATGTGACTGTTGTGTCACATGCGTGTGTCACATGTGACTGTTGTGTCACATGCGTGTGTCACATGTGACTGTTGTGTCACATACGTGTGTCACATGTGACTGTTGTGTCACATGCGTGTGTCACATGTGACTGTTGTGTCACATGTGACTGTTGTGTCACATGCGTGTGTCACATGTGACTGTTGTGTCACATGCGTGTGTCACATGTGACTGTTGTGTCACATGTGACTGTTGTGTCACATGCATGTGTCACATGTGACTGTTGTGTCACATACGTGTGTCACATGTGACTGTTGTGTCACATGCGTGTGTCACATGTGACTGTTGTGTCACATATGTGTGTCATATGTGACTGTTGTGTCACATGCGTGTGTCATATGTGACTGTTGTGTCACATGTGACTGTTGTGTCACATGTGACTGTTGTGTCACATATGTGTGTCATATGTGACTGTTGTGTCACATGTGTGTGTCATATGTGACTGTTGTGTCACATGCGTGTGTCACATGTGACTGTTGTGTCACATGTGTGACTGTTGTGTCACATGTGTCACTCTTCCAATGAGCCACTCACTATATCTCTCTACAAGCAGGTCTGCATTTGGTAGGTTCCCAATTAGTTAATAACGGGTATACTGTTCATAATTATTCAGTGTTCACGGTTGTTCATCACTGTTTACCGCTGTTCAAAACGAGTCAAGTGAACGAGATGTTAATAACTCCAACAGTGTGAAGTGTTATATGGCGAGGAAGAACAGGCGGGGGTTAGGCCCATATACCACACTGGTACTTCATGAGATGTTTAAAGTCTCAGTTGAGTTCCAGTTAGGTATTACTGCGATTCTTTCCTAGTGAGTATCCTTGCCTGGTCGCTAGAACAACGGTCTAATATTCGTGCAAATCCGAGTTCGATCCCTCGGTGTTCCACGTGGCTACATATTTGTAAAGAAGGGTTGGGACATCGCTTGCAATACCTCGAGATTTTTTATTCTGCAGGTGTTATGCCTTAATAATACATAGTGTAGACGTACTCATTATGTATACACAGGTGTTTTATTTTTCCCCAGAGTGCTAGTTTAGCGTCACTCATCCCGTGAGTGAACACACCCCCATAGGGACAGTGCCACTCATCCTGTGACTGAACATACCCCCATAGGGACAGTGCCACTCATCCTGTGAGCGAACACACCCCCATATGGACAGTGCCACTCATCCTGTGAGTGAACACCCCCCATAGGGACAGTGCCACTCGTCCTGTGAGTGAACAAACCCCTATAGGGACAGTGCCACTCATCCTGTGAGCGAACACACCCCCATATGGACAGCGTCACTCATCCTGTGAGTGAACACACCCCCATAGGGACAGCGTCACTCATCCTGCGAGTGAACACACCCCCATAGGGACAGTGCCACTCATCCGGTGAGTGAACAAACCCCCATAGGGACAGTGCCACTCATCCTGTGAGCGAACACACCCCCATAGGGACAGTGCCACTCATCCTGTGAGTGAACACACCCCCATAGGGACAGCGTCACTCATCCTGTGAGTGAACACACCCCCATAGGGACAGTGCCACTCATCCTGTGAGTGAACACCCCCCCATAGGGACAGTGCCACTCATCCTGTGAGTGAACACACCGCCATAGCAGCACGTACAACCCCCCCCCAATAAGAATACAACCGGCTAGGTTGTTCATCTTGTCACTTGTCCCAAGACACGGCTGCGACTTACCACCAAATATATATTGGTTTAACCTACACAACACTGAACAAAACACGGAAAGGTTGTTGTGTAAAACTTACCTTTCATGGCGTAGATGGGTAAGCTGGCTTGGACTGTCGTGGGTAGATGAGTATGAGTCCGTAAGTGTGGGTTTGTTTGGACGTGGTTGGTCGTGGGTTGGTTAGGGTGGGTGTGGGTGGGCGTGGGTGGGTCTGGGTGGGAGTGGGTGGGCGAGGGTGGGGGGACTAAGGAAGACGATGAGGCAGGTGAGTAATAGGAAGATGAAGAGAATTTTGAAGCTGAGGAGGAGGAAGAAAAGGAGAATGAGAAGGCAGACGAGTGTGAAGAAGAGAGGAAAGGTGAGGAGAGAGGCGTGACAGCTGAAGGCGGATAGACAAATAGAGGCGTTGATGAAGTGGGGGGAGACACAGGGGTGGTGGGGGGGTCACTTCTCGCAGGAGAGGAGAGGAGCCAGGGGGAGAGGTAGGGAGGGGGAAGGAGGGGAGCCTGTGAGAGGTAGGAAGAGTAGGAGTAGTGAGGGGTGTGTGGGAGATGTGGATGTGAGGGGTAAGGAAGGGATGAGAAGGAGTGGGAGAGAGGGGAAAGGAGATGGCCGACTCCTGGGTACACCGCTACTCTCCCACCCTCGACCTCGTGACTGTAAAATGTAAACGACACACATTGACACCTGCACCACAGCACACATTGACACCTGCAACACACCACACATTGACACCTGCACCACAGCACACATTGACACCTGCAACACTACACACATTGACACCTGCAACACTATACACATTGACACCTGCAACACATCACACATTGACACCTGCAACGCATCACACATTGACACCTGCAACACACCACACATTGACACCTGCAACACTACACACATTGACACCTGCAACACTATACACATTGACACCTGCAACACATCACACATTGACACCTGCAACACGACACACATTGACACCTGCACCACTCTACACACATTGACACCTGCAACACAGCACACATTGACACCTGCAACACATCACACATTGACACCTGCAACACATCACACATTGACACCTGCAACACGACACACATTGACACCTGCACCACAGCACACATTGACACCTGCAACACACCACACATTGACACCTGCACCACAGCACACATTGACACCTGCAACACTACACACATTGACACCTGCAACACTATACACATTGACACCTGCAACACATCACACATTGACACCTGCAACGCATCACACATTGACACCTGCAACACACCACACATTGACACCTGCAACACTACACACATTGACACCTGCAACACTATACACATTGACACCTGCAACACATCACACATTGACACCTGCAACACGACACACATTGACACCTGCACCACTCTACACACATTGACACCTGCAACACAGCACACATTGACACCTGCAACACATCACACATTGACACCTGCAACACATCACACATTGACACCTGCAACACTACACACATTGACACCTGCAACACACCACACATTGACACCTGCAACACTACACACATTGACACCTGCAATACTATACACATTGACACCTGCAACACTACACACATTGACACCTGCAACACTACACACATTGACACCTGCAACACTATACACATTGACACCTGCAACACTATACACATTGACACCTGCAACACTACACACATTGACACCTGCACCGCATGCACACATTGACACCTGCAACACACCACACATTGACACCTGCAACACTACACACATTGACACCTGCAACACTATACACATTGACACCTGCAACACTATACACATTGACACCTGCAACACTACACACATTGACACCTGCAACACTATACACATTGACACCTGCAACACATCACACATTGACACCTGCACCACAGCACACATTGACACCTGCACCACAGCACACATTGACACCTGCACCACAGCACACATTGACACCTGCACCACAGCACACATTGACACCTGCAACACTACACACATTGACACCTGCAACACAACACAACACACATTGACACCTGCAACACATCACACATTGACACCTGCAACACAACACACATTGACTCCTGTAACACAACACAACACACATTGACACCTGCAACACAGCACACATTGACACCTGCAACACTACACACATTGACACCTGCACCACAGCACACATTGACACCTGCAACACTACACACATTGACACCTGCAACACAGCACACATTGACACCTGCAACACATCAAACATTGACACCTGCAACACAACACACAATGACACCTGCAACACATCACACATTGTCACCTGCAACACTACACACATTGACACCTGCAACACATGCACACATTGACACCTGCAACACATCACACATTGACACCTGCAACACTACACACATTGACACCTGCAACACATGCACACATTGACACCTGCAACACATGCACACATTGACACCTGCAACACACCACACATTGACACCTGCAACACTACACACATTGACACCTGCAACACTATACACATTGACACCTGCAACACATCACACATTGACACCTGCAACACATCACACATTGACATCTGCAACACGACACACATTGACACCTGCACCACAGCACACATTGACACCTGCACCACAGCACACATTGACACCTGCACCACAGCACACATTGACACCTGCAACACTACACACATTGACACCTGCAACACAACACAACACACATTGACACCTGCACCACAGCACACATTGACACCTGCAACACAACACACATTGACACCTGCAACACAACACAACACACATTGACACCTGCAACACAGCATACATTGACACCTGCAACACTACACACATTGACACCTGCAACACAGCACACATTGACACCTGCAACACATCAAACATTGACACCTGCAACACAACACACATTGACACCTGCAACACATCACACATTGTCACCTGCAACACTACACACATTGACACCTGCAACACATGCACACATTGACACCTGCAACACATGCACACATTGACACCTGCAACACACCACACATTGACACCTGCAACACTACACACATTGACACCTGCAACACATGCACACATTGACACCTGCAACACATGCACACATTGACACCTGCAACACATGCACACATTGACACCTGCAACACATGCACACATTGACACCTGCAACACACCACACATTGACACCTGCAACACTACACACATTGACACCTGCAACACATGCACACATTGACACCTGCAACACATGCACACATTGACACCTGCAACACATGCACACATTGACACCTGCAACACATGCACACATTGACACCTGCAACACCATAAGATTAACTCCACAAAAATGTTCAATTCCAGAATCAATATATCGATACCAAAAAAGTTCAGATTCAAAAGTTCAGTAATATTAAATATATTGTAGGGACTCTTGGGAGAAGAAAAAGTTATGTGATTATCTAGTGATCATTTCCTAAAGTTATGTGATTATCTAGTGATCATTTCCTAAAGTTATGTGATTATCTAGTGATCATTTCCTAAAGTTATGTGATTCTCAAGTGATCAATCCTTAAAGTTTTGTGATTATCTAGTGATCAATCCTTAAAGTTATGTGATTATCTAGTGATCATTTCATAAAGTTATGTGATTATCTAGTGATCATTTCATAAAGTTATGTGATTATCTAGGGATAATTTCTTAAAGATCATTCTCAAATGATCATTTTCTAAAGTTATGTGATTCTCTAGTGATCATTTCCTAAAGTTATGTGATTATCTAGTGATCATTTCATGAAGTTAAGTGATTATCTAGTGATCATTTCATGAAGTTAAGTGATTATCTAGTGATCATTTCATGAAGTTAAGTGATTATCTAGTGATCATTTCATGAAGTTAAGTGATTATCTATTGATCATTTCCTAAAGTTATGTGACTATCTAGTGATCACTTCCTAAAGTTATGTGACTATCTAGTGGTCACTTCCTAAAGAAAAGAATGCTAAATTTCCAAAAGTCACAGGAATTGATTTTAGAGACATAAAGGGACTCACTTCAGTTTTGGATGCCAGAGTGCCAGCGCCCAGGTGTGCCCCCTGTCGTGCACCTGCCCGGCGTCGTGTGGCTGGTGACGGTGCCACGTGGTCTGACTCTGGCCCTCACCTGGTGTACCCACGAGGTCCGAGCCCTCTGTGGGGTCCAAGTCCAGTGTGGGGTCCGAGTCCCGTGTGGGGTCCCACAGGAGGAAGGGGCTGGTGTCCCAAGCACTCTCTGCGGACACCCATGCCCGTTTCACTTTCCTGTATCGTCCTTTTCCCTTCATGGTGTTCCTTCTCGCGTTCTGTTTAACCTTTTCTTTCCTGTTCCTCTTCTGCACTACCTTGTGCTTCAGCCTTTTCTTAGCCTTACTTTGTCTCGAAGCATTACCTTCTAGGGTGTCCTTAGCAGTTTTTTCTGTCATATTTTTTCTATTTTTCTCGATTCTGTGTGCGTATATTTTATCTTTGTTCTCTTTCTCTCTTCTGTTAGCCTTCCCTTCCTCTACTTCACCTTCTTCTTCTTCACGCTTCTTCTTCTTCTTCGTTGTCGTCTCTTTTTGCTTCCTATTTCCTTTCCTGTTGTTTTCTCTCATGTTTCTCATGATTTTATAATCTACATTTTCCTTTTTCCTCTTCTCAGTTTTATGCTGATTTTCCTCTTTCTTCTCTCTCGTTTTACTACTTTTCTTGCTTTCCTTCCCTCCTTTTTTATTTTCTTCCTTTTTGTTCTGTTTCTTATTTATCCCGCTTTCCCCTTTCTTGTCTTCTCTTGCCTCCTTTTCAACTCCCTGCTTCTTCCTATTCCAGTTATGTTTTCCGTGACCCCTTTCAATCCTCTTCTTGTTTTGATTTTCTTGTTTCTTGCCTCTTCCTATTTCTCCTTCATTTGCTTTGTCCTTATCCTGATCCTCTCTCCCTCTTTCTTCTCGTGATTTGTCATTGTTTTTGACCTCTTCTTGTGCCTTGTCCTCCTCTTGATTATTTTGCCCCTTCTTTAGGCCACTTTCTTTGTTTATTTCGTAGTTTGTTTTCTCTATTCCTTTTTTATCTTTGGCACTTGTTTTTTCTTTCTGTTTGTCCTTTCTCTTGTTCCAATTATCGTTTCCAGTATTATGTATTTCTATCTTCTTATTCTTCTTCGTATCCTTGCCTTTCTTCTCCCTTTCCTCGTTATTCCTATTTGCTTCTTCATTCTTCGTGTCATTCTTAATCTCTGTTTGGCTCTCTCCATTCTTCTTCTCCGTCTCTTCATTTGTCTCGATGTTCTCCATTTTCTTGTCATTCTTACTGTTAATGTCTTTCATCTTCTTTTCATTTTCATACGGACTCTCGCTCATTTCTTTTTCATTCATCTCTCTCGTTTCCTTTTCGCTTTGAGTTTCCTTATTGTTTTGTTTCTTCTCCCTCTCGCCTTTCCCTTCGTTCAGTGGAATATTTGCATTTGGAATTCTGTTGTGTTTTTTGCTATTCCTTCCTTTGGTATTCTTGCTATCCGTTTCTGTGTGTGTGATATCGTCTTTTGTGGCTTCCTCTGCGTTATCACTGTTTCTCCCCAGTTCCTCGTTATTGGTTGTCTGTGTCACATTCTCTCTATAACCCTTCATCTTCCTCTTGGCTTCTTCTCTTTTCGTAATTTCACGGAACGATTTGTGGCTATTTGCGTTATTCTTTTCATTCTTAATTCTCTGCGTGTCTGTATCTTCCTCCTCCTCTTCCTCCTCCTCTTCCTCCTCCTCTTCCTCCTCCTCTTCCTCCTCCTCTTCCTCCTGGGGTTTATCGTCGTTTTTCTTTCTCCTTTTCTGCATTTGAGGTTCGAGCGGTCCGGTGGTTATCGCCGGTTTTCTTGCGTCCTCTTTATTGCCGAGTTTACCTGTTCTTGTTTTCACGGCGGCTTTATCACCCTCGTCGTGTTGAATGTTCTCGGCGTGTTGCTTATTCTCCTCGTTCTTTTCCTGTTTTTCGCTTTTTCCACTTTTGTCTTTGTTTACGTGTTTCTGGACACCTTCACGAGTTTGCTTTACTGCCTTTTCTTCATTTGTCTTGTTATTTTCCTTTGTTATGAATTTTGGGTCATTTGTTATTTTTCCTTCTTCCATCTCCCCCTTTCGTTTCCTGTTGGTAAGGAGATCACGAAGTCCCTCTATGTCGTATTCTTTATTTCCTTGTTTATTCTCGGTGCCTCTTGGGTCCGTCTTTGGTCTGAAGGTTGGTGTCTGTCTCAGACGGACAGAGACAGACAGGCTGCTCTTCCCTGTCTCTCTTGGTCTCTGTCTCTCTTCTTCGTTATTACTGCTTTCTCTCGCCGCGTTATCCGTCGGTCTCTGTGATTTTCTGTGGCGCTTTTCTTTGCTTCCGTTATTTTCTGTCTCTTGTGGGTTTGCTTGTTCCGTTTCATCTTTCTGTCCATTTCTCTTTACGTTGCTCTTCTTCCCAGCTTTATTCTCGATCCTCTTCCGTCTCTTCTTATATCCTGCGCTTAGTCTGTCCTCTTTCGTTATTTCATCTCCGTTTTTGTTTGGTCTTGCGTTTCTCTTCCTCTTCCTTAGCTCCTTCCTTTCGTTACCTTTCTCACGGTCAGTCCTCCTGGCTCCTTTACCCCTGATTCCTCTTTCGCTTCTCTTTTCTGTGCTATTCGTCCCCTTTCTCCTTAACTCTGAAGCTTTATCTTGATCTACGCTATTCCTTCCTTCGTTATCTTTGTCCTCCACCCTCTTCTTTGCGTTTCCGGTTAATTTCCTTCCTTGTTTTGCATCTTCATCGTCCGCCTTTCCCCTTTTTTTCTGTTTTGTGCTCATCGAGAAGAGGGTTGGCGTGGTGGAGTGAGGGAGAAAGGGGTCTGGGTGCTGGGGGCTTGAGTTGGTGCGGGTGAGTGCTGGGGAAGACCTTTGAGGGAGAGAGGGAACCTGGTGTTGGAGAGATCGGATAGCGTCGAGGGGCTGTTGAGGATTTTGTAGGTGATGGGGAAGGTGGTGAAGAATTCGGTGTTGGAGCAACGACAGCTGATGGTGGAGAAGGCCATCGGACGGTGGTGGAGAGATTCCCGGCGGCGGGCGTTCGGCGGGGTCTCCAACACAGCGTGTTGTCGAGGCCTCCACCACTGGCGCCACCTCCAGCAGGGCTTCCCCAACATGGCCTGTGAAAGACAAAATGCTTGCGTCATTTGCAGAAAAAAAAAACAAAATTATTTAACTGAAAATTATTCTTAAGATTGGAAAAAACTTAGAAGACACAGCAATAATACTATAAAATAATAATAATAATATTAATAATAATAATAATAATAATAATAATAATAATAATAATAATAATATGGTTGGATATAACAACAGACCCAGTCGATTGCTCTTAAAACATATTTTTTTATGAATATATAAAACAGTACACATCTTTTTTCATACACTCTCAGCTTACCTCACATTCTCTCTCTCTCTCTCTCTCTCTCTCTCTCTCTCTCTCTCTCTCTCTCTCTCTCTCTCTCTCTCTCTCTCTCTCTCTCTCTCTCTCTCTCTCTCTCTCTCTCTCTCTCTCTCTCTCTCTCTCTCTCTCTCTCTCTCTCTCTCTCTCTCTCTCTCTCTCTCTCTCTCTCTCTCTCTCTACAGCATTACACTACATCGCCACCTCGGTTATAAACACAAGGAAGATAGTGACCAGGACACCACAACACAGGGATGATAGTGACCCGGACACCACAACACAGGGATGATAGTGACCAGGACACCACAACACAGGGGTGATAGTGACCAGGACACCACAACACAGGGATGATAGTGACCAGGACACCACAACACAGGGGTGATAGTGACCAGGACACCACAACACAGGGATGATAGTGACCAGGACACCACAACACAGGGAAGATAGTGACTCAGACACCACAACACAGAGAAGATAGTGACTCAGACACCACAACACAGGGGTGATAGTGACCCGGACACCACAACACAGGGGTGATAGTGACCAGGACACCACAACACAGGGATGATAGTGACCAGGACACCACAACACAGGGATGATAGTGACCAGGACACCACAACACAGGGATGATAGTGACCAGGACACCACAACACAGGGATGATAGTGAGCAGGACACCACAACACAGTGATGATAGTGACCCAGACACCACAACACAGGGATGATAGTGACCCGAACACCACAACACAGGGATGATAGTGACCCGAACACCACAACACAGGGATGATAGTGACCAGGAAACCACAACACAGTGATGATAGTGACCAGGACACCACAACACAGGGGTGATAGTGACCAGGACACCACAACACAGGGATGATAGTGACCAGGACACCACAACACATGGATGATAGTGACCAGGACACCACAACACAGGGATGATAGTGACCAGGACACCACAACACAGGGATGATAGTGACCAGGACACCACAACACAGGGATGATAGTGACCAGGACACCACAACACAGTGATGATAGTGACCCAGACACCACAACACAGGGATGATAGTGACCCGAACACCACAACACAGGGATGATAGTGACCCGAACACCACAACACAGGGATGATAGTGACCAGGACACCACAACACAGGGATGATAGTGACCAGGACACCAAAACAAAGGGAAGATAGTGACCAGGACACCACAACACAGGGGTGATAGTGACCAGGACACCACAACACAGGGATGATAGTGACCAGGACACCACAACACAGGGAAGATAGTGACTCAGACACCACAACACAGAGAAGATAGTGACTCAGACACCACAACACAGGGGTGATAGTGACCCGGACACCACAACACAGGGGTGATAGTGACCAGGACACCACAACACAGGGATGATAGTGACCCAGACACCACAACACAGGGATGATAGTGACCAGGACACCACAACACATGGATGATAGTGACCCGAACACCACAACACAGGGATGATAGTGACTAGGACACCACAACACAGGGATGATAGTGACCCGGACACCACAACACAAGGAAGATAGTGACCAGGACACCACAACACAGGGAAGATAGTGACCAGGACACCACAACACAGGGAAGATAGTGACCAGGACACCACAACACAGGGATGATAGTGACCAGGACACCACAACACAGGGATGATAGTGACCCAGACACCACAACAGAGGGATGAAAGTGACCAGGACACCACAACACAGGGATGATAGTGACCCGAACACCACAATACAGGGATGATAGTGACCCGAACACCACAACACAGGGATGATAGTGACCCGGACACCACAACACAAGGAAGATAGTGACCAGGACACCACAACACAGGGAAGATAGTGACCAGGACACCACAACACAGGGAAGATAGTGACCAGGACACCACAACACAGGGAAGATAGTGACCCGGACACCACAACACAGTGATGATAGTGACCAGGACACCACAACACAGGGATGATAGTGACCAGGACACCACAACACAGGGATGATAGTGACCAGGACACCACAACACAGGGAAGATAATGACCAGGACACCACAACACAGGGAAGATAGTGACCAGGACACCACAACACAGGGAAGATAGTGACCAGGACACCACAACACAGGGGTGATAGTGACCAGGACACCACAACACAGGGAAGATAGTGACCAGGACACCACAACACATGGATGATAGTGACCCGGACACCACAACACAGGGATGATAGTGACCAGGACACCACAACACAGGGAAGATAGTGACCAGGACACCAAAACACAGGGAAGATAATGACCAGGACACCACAACACAGGGAAGATAGTGACCAGGACACCACAACACAGGGAAGATAATGACCAGGACACCACAACACAGGGATGATAGTGACCCTAGAGGTTGTTACCTAAGACTTACAACAACACAATCAGGGTCAACAATGCTCAATATATTATTGATCGAAAAATCAAATCGAGATTGATCAATAATAAGTGTGGGTCAGGGGTAGACCCACGGGGGTAGTGTAGGTCGAGGGTAGACCCACGGGGGTAGTGTGGGTCGGGGGTAGACCCACGGGGGTAGTGTAGGTCGAGGGTAGACCCACGAGGGGGTAGTGTGGGTCGGAGGTAGACCCACGGGGGTAGCGTGGGTCGGGGGTAGACCCACGGGGGTAATGTTAGTCGGGGCTAGACCCACGGGGGTAGTGTGGGTCGGGGGTAGACCCACGGGGGTAGAGTAGGTCGAGGGTAGACCCACGGGGGTAGTGTGGGTCGGGGGTAGACCCACGGGGGTAGTGTGGGTCGGGGGTAGACCCACGGGGGGGGGGTAGTGTGGGTCGGAGGTAGACCCACGGGGGTAGCGTGGGTCGGGGGTAGACTCACGGGGGTAATGTTAGTCGGGGCTAGACCCACGGGGGGTAGTGTGGGTCGGGGTAGACCCACGGGGGTAGTGTAGGTCGAGGGTAGACTCACGGGGGTAGTGTGGGTCGGGGGTAGACTCACGGGGGTAATGTTAGTCGGGGCTAGACCCACGGGGGAGAGTGTGGGTCGGGGGTAGACCCACGGGGGTAGTGTAGGTCGAGGGTAGACTCACGGGGGTAGTGTGGGTCGGGGGTGGACCCACGGGGTAGTGTGGGTCGGGGGTAGACCCACGGGGGTAGTGTGGGTCGGGGGTAGACCCACGGGGATAGTGTTAATCGGGTTTAGACCCACGGGAGTAGTGTGGGTCGGGGGTAGACCCACGGGGATTAGTGTGGGTCGGGGGTTGACCCATGGGGGTAGTGTTAGTCGGGGGTAGACCCACAAGGGGTAGTGTGGGTCGGGGGTAGACCCACGGGGGGTAGTGTGGGTCGGGGGTAGACCCACGGGGGTAGCGTGGGTCGGGGGTAGACCCACGGGGGTAGTGTGGGTCGGGGGTAGACCCACGGGGGTAGTGTGGGTCGGGGGTAGACCCACGGGGGTAGTGTGGGTCGGGGGTAGACCCACGGGGGTAGTGTGGGTCGGGGGTAGACCCACGGGGGTAGTGTGGGTCGGGGGTAGACCCACGGGGGTAGTGTGGGTCGGGGGTAGACCCATGGGGGTAGTGTGGGTCGGGGGGGTAGAGCCACAGAGGTAGCGTGGGTCGGGGGGCAGACCCATGGGGGTAGTGTAGGTCGAGGGTAGACTCACGGGGGTAGTGTGGGTCGGGGGTAGACCCACGGGGGTAGTGTGGGTCGGGGGTAGACCCACGGGGGTAGTGTGGGTCGGAGTACTGGAAGTAGACACATAGACCGTGCGTTTTGTTTTTTCCGGCGCACGGTTACCTTTCGTGATTTTTCCCGTGATACAGGGATGGACGGTCTATGTGTCGTGAATTTTTTCCATGGGAGTGCCAAGGTTCCCTCGTAGACCCGGCTGTGATGGGAAATGTTATTGTATTAATGTTGTAGCTCTCCAGGAGACAGAGGATAGGAATGAAGTCTTATTTATATTAATTGGCTATAAAGGGTTTCACCTCTTCGCCGCAAGTAACATAAGAGGGACGTCGATATATATTAAGAACTCCATACCAGCATAGTAGAACCACCGTAAAAAGGCAAGGAATAGAGAGTGTCTGTGTTAAATTATCATTAAGGGAAGGGGAATTTATTATAGTAATTTGTATGTATCTAGGAACTGCTTCGACCCTCACTATCTACCTGACTGCATTTATACTAATCCTTCACCGGTCATTGGGGACCTTAATGCTCGGCACACAAGCCTTAGGACAGTGGGTAGTATTAATGGGGTCAAGTGGTTACAGTTTTAACAAGATCATCCAGATACCTGTCTCTTGGGAAACAATGAACCAACTCACATCAGGGGAGGACGGCTTGACTATGCCTGCATTTTAAACTCTCAGGGGATTATGGGGGAGGCTCGGGTTGTTCGGGAACTACTTAGTGACCACTTTGCCTTGAACATTGAATTACCACTGGGCAAAAAACAAGTTCACTTTCAAAGGAAAAGACTAAATATTAATGAAGATATGAAAAATTATTTTATTCAAAATATGGGAGATTGGTATCAACAATACACGCCGCTCTGCGTTGATAGTTTTTACGAGGACATGGTCGAGAACATAGAGAAATTAGTACAGAGGGAAAATAACGGGGGCAGGGGAAGCAAGACGCATGGGGCTACAGGCCTGTCTCCTTAACATCCTGCTTTTGTAAAATAATGGAAAGGATTTTGTTAAATAGGCTACTCTACCTTGTAGGTGATAACATGTCCAATAATCTCTTTGGTTTTATCAAAGGCAAAAGTACTGCGGACTGTCTCTTAAAGTGTTGGTCTAATGTGGATGACAATTGTAGAGTTTTTGTTGATCTACAAGGAGCATTTGATAAAGCCAATGGGGAAGTAATTTTATTCGAATTAGCCAATCTGGGAATAACAGGGAGAGTGTTACATTGGATAATGAATTATCCACAAGGGAGAAAGGTCAGGTGTATTACCAGGGATACATGTCTGAGGAACAGATGTTTCAGTTGGGTACCCCCTAAGGGGGAGTTTTAAGTCCCACCTTATTCAATGTATTAATGAACAGATTAGCATCAGAGATGTATCCTCCAGGGGTCAAGACGATCATATATGCTGATGACATTCTTATACAAGGCACTTCTGGGAACAAAACTCAAACTGCTCTTAACATACTTGGTACAACCTGTCACAAATTAGGCTTAGTTATAAATGCAGATAAAACCAAATACGAGTATAGGAAACGAAGAAATATAACACTCTAAATGGTGTGGAACTGAGCCGTGTTCAGAAGTACAAGTATCTAGGCATGTATGTTGGATACACATGTGAGAGTAAAAATGCTGAAATAAATCATATCAGCACCTTATGTAAAGCCCGTCTGCATCCTCTAAAAGCACTGGCTTTTTCTGGTAAAGATGTATTGGTACCTATCTTGCGGATGTTATACATAAGCACTGTTCGGTCCCTGATAGACTACGCAACACCCGTTTTGTCTTACACAGGCCAAGGCAGAATTAAAAAAATAGAGCTGATACAGAACGAGGCTATGAGGATTATTCTTGGATGTCAAAGAAATGCAATGATTGAAATAATGAGAATAGAATTAGATTTACAGAGCGTGTATGATAGAGTCCGTGACATTAACACTAGAGTATCTATTCGTTTCATGCGGAGAGGATAAGCTGTTTCAGAGCGTTTAGACCTGCCTGAGTGACGTACACACTTCCAGGAAACTGAGATAGACATGTTACTCGAGGGGATTAGCTCATGACCTCAGGGAATACTATGTACTTGACTGCTGTAAACCCTCTCGACAGTGTAATAGGTCTGCTTCCTGGAAAGTACAGAAAATAGACGTCGAAATTGTACCCCTCAAGGTGAAAAAGATTCATCATGAACCGGGACAATTACGGTGTTTGTATGGAAGCATGATATCTCGGTTACCAAGAGGCAACAGTTTATATGTATATTGTGACGGGTCGGTGGCGGAGGATGGCAGGGCCGAGTGTGGTGTCCTAATAAGGGAATATACCGAGTTTGGAACTGTGGACAGGAAAAATTGAACTTTGACTTAGTAATTATATATCATCCACACACGCTGAACTGCAGGCCATTCTGGATGGTTGAGCTCAACAGGTTTAGAGAAAATTCCCATTATTAACACAGCGTTGGTGTAGCCTGTGTTGAAAAGTTATATAATAACATATATTTACATGCACTTGGAGACTTCAACAGGAATTCAGTAGTATTCCTTATGTCCACGTCTGATTTGTACGAATAGGAGATGTGGATTTTAATTTTATTTCCTGTGCTCGATAAACGATAATTGAAGAAAGACTGACCAAGCTTAAATTACATTCTCTAGAAAGGCAAAGAGTTATGGGGTGGCAAGATAGAGGTGAGCAAGTGGATGATTGTACATAACAATGGAAATGTTAATAGGCTATTAAAAGATTTAACAGAACACGAAACAATGGGTATAAATAGAGTAAGTTTTAGATTTAGGAAAAACACCTGGGTAAATACTGGTTCCGTAAGAGGGGTGAACGCATTTCTCATGCTCAATATGCAATATCAGTGAGAAAATGATCTTGAAACATGGGAAATAATATGGAAATACTTCACTAATGAAAACTAGCTTATTATGGGAAGATTATGGATGATGTCATTGTACATTAGGCTCGACAGAAGGCTGCCTTTTAATCCCCCCTTGACAAATATTGAAAATGGGAATAAATAAACTATGACAGAAAACGTGCTTATGCAGGGAAGATGAAGACTGAATGGCGTCATTGACCATTAGCAATGTGTGTACAGGGTGGCCGAGGCAATACAAAACACCCGAGACACGGGCCGACCTTTTAATCCCCTTGAACGAAATTTTCATGTACTAGAAGGCTAGCATCACTCCCTGGGGTAACGGAAATGGACTCCCGCCAAACACACACCGAAACTACGACGTCGGTACAACGTTCGAACAAATTTTAACACCTCCTAACCAGTTATAACAACCAAATATAGGAAGTTGTAACAACGTTCTAATACGTCATAAACACGTTAAGCCAAGATGTAACAACTTTATTACAAGCTGTAACAAGCAGAAAATAGAGACATTTACGGTTTGTGTTTCCAGGGCTGGGACGAGAGGCGGCCTTTTAATCCCCTTGAGCAAAATGGCCAGGATGAGGAGGGAACCTTTGTTCTCCCATAGAGAAAATTCCCGCCACACAGACCGTCCATCGCTGTTACACGATGGACGAAAAATAAATCACGACACGTAGCCCGTGCGCCGGAAAAACCAAAACTCACGGTCTACGCGTCTACTTCCACTACTGGTCGGGGGTAGACCCACGGGAGTAGTGTGGGTCGGGGGTAGACCCACGGGGGTAGTGTGGGTTGGGGGGTAGACCCACGGGGGTAGTGTGGATCGGGGGTAGACCCACGGGGGTAGACCCACGGGGGTAGTGTGTCAGGATAAACCCATAACAAGCAGCTCTGGATAAAAATGTAAACAAAGAATCACAGTTTCTTTAACAGTTTTCGAGCTTGTGTTTCGAAATTCTTGAAGCAGATCTTGAGCGCTCAGGAGCCAATAAAGCAGTCCGTCCTCCAAACAAAGACTCAAAAGGGATTCCATGCACCCGCCAAACCCCCTGTTTATGAATGAAAAGCGGTTTACACACGACTCACAACTGCTGACGTTCGAACACTTCCGGAACAAGTGCTTCACTGACGAATTTTGCTCGAACTACACACTTCACCCACGTACTACAAATGCAAATAATTGCCAACAGAATCTAAATACCTAACCCAACCTAACCTATGCCTATATATGCACATTCTGCTAATATATTATGATATTAATTTATGTTCGAGAACATTCCCGTTTTGAATGAACAGCATGTTAAACTTTATGCATGCGTCTGTGGGGTAGACCGCTGGATGGAATGGACTTGAGTTGAGGACGGGTTGCAATAAAGTAACCATGAAGAACAAACTAATGCTCGAGCATTACTGTCTCATTTCTTCCTCTGCCAGGCGTGTGGATATCAACAAGACTGCGTCGATATCACTAAGACTGAGTGGATATCACTAAGACTGAGTGGATATCACTAAGACTGAGTGGATATCACTAAGCAGCCCGTCCTCCAAACAAAGATCCAAAAGTGATTCCATGCACCCGCCAAACCCCCTGTTTATGAATGATAAACGGTTTACACACGACTCACAACTGCTGACGTTCGAACATATCCGGAACAAGTGTTTCACTGACGAATTTTGTTCGAATCACAACGCTATAAATGCTTCACCCACGTACTACAAATACAAATAATCGCCAACAGAACCTAAACACCTAACCTATCCTATCCTATGCCTATATATACACAATATGCCAATATATTATAATTTATACTTGAGAAATTGCCCGTTTTGAATGAACAGCATGTTAAAATTTATGAATGCGTCTGTGGGGTCGACCGCTGGATGTAATGGACTTGAGTCGAGGACGGGTTGCACTAAGACTGAGTGGATATCAATAAGACTGCGTGGATATCGATGAGACTGCGTGGATAAAATCAATAAGAGTGAATATAAATTTCAAGGTTATTGACACTGTCATTTTTTCTTCTCTTGAC